CTTGGCACAGATACGTAATATGCTCTGGTGGAGTTTGGGGAAATAGACCTTGACATTTGGGGGTTGTAGTTGCAGGGGTGTATAGTTCACCTTAAGAGAGTGAAGATGAAAAATGCTCTTGATTTTTCTGGTTGTCAAAAAGGTGATTTGCTATTTCTGGAAGGTTCCATGTGAACAATTCACTCCATTTTGTGGCCAAAATGGGTGTCACAAGGGATCTGGAAGACCAGAGGAGTGACACACATCTTCACACATCACAGTGCTGCCTCAAAGTGTGGTGGTATTTCTTTCTCTTAAGGTTTTTAAACAGAGGCTGGATGGTCATCTGTCAGGGGTGCTTTGATTGTGTGTTCCTGAAAGCAGGGGGTTGGACTGGGTGGCCCTTGGGTAACAACTCTATGATTCTGTCTAAATTGTAACTAAAGTAGCTGATGTAATACATCAGCATTTCCCCAACGTACCCAGGGCTGTAATCATATGTGCCATTCTATCGTTGCAAACTTTCCTAGAAACTTGCCACAGACCAGTAGCTGATATCTCATAGGTCAGCAGTGCTTCATAGACCATTATTTTCAGTAGCACTAATCTAAAGAATGGAGCCCCCGGTGGCACAGTGGGTTAAACCCCTGTGCCAGCAGGACTGAAGACCGACAGGTCGCAGGTTTGAATCCGGGGAGAGGCGGATGAGCTCCCTCTATCAGCTCCAGTTCCTCATGCGGGGACATGAGAGAAGCTTCCCACAGGGATGATAAAAACATTAAATCATCCTGGCGTCCCCTGGGCAACGTCGTTGCAGACGGCCAATTCTCTCACACCAGCAGCGACTTGCAGTTTCTCAAGTTGCTCCTGACATGACAAAAAAATATATCTAAAGAATGGTGTGAAAACTTCCTATCGCAAATGGTCCAGAAAGCTCCGAAGACTATAATCACACCTTTTTGCTCTGCCATGTGTATTAGTCATGCTCCATTTGGTCTTCTAAGGTAAAGGTAAAAAGGTTTTCCCCTGACATTAAATCCAGTCGTGTCCAACTCTGGGGGTTGGTGCTCATCTCCATTTCTAATCCAAAGAGCCAGTGTTGTCCGTAGCTGGCTTGACTGCATGGAGCGCAGTTACCTTCCCACCGGATCGGTACCTATTGGTCTTCTACAGAAGTGGTTCTCCATATATTTTGGACTTCAGCTCCCAGAAGCCCCAGCTAGCATAACTTGTGATCGGGAATTCTGAAGAATGAAGTCCTAAACATCTGGAGGACCAAGGGTTGAGAACCACTGTTCTCCAGCATTCTCTAAGTGAAGCCTGTTTAGAATTCTCCATTTGGCCACAGACTTCTGGACAAGCTGTTGACCAGGGGCAGTTCCAAATGTGATTCGCTTGGTGTGTCAGCTACACTGGCTATCCAAAGCTTTGAAAAGTTAGACTAGGGAAACTTAAATATTCTAGAAATTTCTCAAAATAAGTGTTTTCCCCCAGATACTGCTATTTACAGACACAGTTGTGATGTACGTATGGTTCACCTATAACCCCCTGAACAATCTGGGCCAGGCTACATGAAAGGCAGCATTCATTCATACAAATCTGGTCAGATTTTGATTCCAGTGGGATGTGCCCATTGTCTATGAGCCATGAGAGGGGCAGTTGTTGGGGAAGAGTAGGCCACCTCACAATGGCCATTCCTTGTTGAAAGCGGCATGCTGTCTCTCTTTTCTTTGTCCTTCTGTTGGTAGAAAGAAAGCCCTTTGGCATTTCAGTTATTTGTTGGCTGTAGGGACTGCTAACCAACTAAATTATCATTTATTGTTATTGCTGTGTTTTTATTGCTGAATTTGCTTTAATTTAGATGAGTATTTTATTATTTCAGCCACCTTGATTACCAGTGTTGGTGGAAAGGTGGGTTATAAGCCAAATAACAGATGATAAAATGAAGTACACTGTGATATGTTTTGAAAAGTTAACGGAACTATGCACTGTCCCCTTGAGACAGCTTAGATGTCAGCTTTGGTTTATCCAGGGCAATACTTCACTGGATTACCAACAAAGCCACCTAGTGCACCTGCTGTGAGGAAATCAGATTTCCTCATTACTGGGAACATAATATTGAATTACTGAGGAACTGGCACTTTCCTTCTCCACATGTACTAGATTATCGTCATATACACCTGATGCACCAGTGGAAATTTCCTCCTTTCTATCCATGCCACTTAAAAAAATATGTGAAGTTATTTTTTATTTTTTTTATTTTATTTCTGGACTAATGCAAGTCCAATGTTGGACTATTACAAGTCCAAATGGTATTGGACTTGTGCTAATTCAACACTATTTTTGGACTAGTACAAGTTTCAATTTTTCAAAATATTTTTGTTGATTGAACATCCTTAACTCTATTAGGAAAATAAATGTTAAGTGCAATTATTTGAAAGGGGCTACAAAGTCCAGCAAAAGTAATCTCCTCCTCTTTCACCCCCATCTTCAACACCAACCTTTTTGCTTGGAATGCAACAAGGCCGAGGAGAGAATGCTTTAAAGTTTATCTTTAAGCGACTTCTGTGGGAGAAAACACATCAAAGCAACTAGTCAATGTCACCATAAAAGATCGCTTAAGAAAAAATACAGTATTACAAACACTGGATGGAGTCAGAACACAAAACTGCATTTTAAAGTTCTGCTACAGTCAGGTGTGCATTGACTGCAACCTTAAGCAGATGGATGGGAGGCGTTAAACATTCTGGAATGCCCCCCCCCCCCCGTTGCTCTGCAGGCTAGTGAGACAGTTCAGTTCCTCTGAATTGTTCTTTCCCTTTGAATTTTTGTTCTGCCTTTGTGTGTAGAGGGGTGCAGCATTTGTTCTTGATAAGACAACAAAATCCTGTTCATAAAGAATCACTGGTTGAAGCTGTGTGACAAACACTCTCATGTAATAAAGATTTTTATCAATGACAGGTGCAGTTTGGTCAAATACCAGAATCCAAGGACAAATCCCTGTCAATTTCTTTTAAGTACATTGTGTTCCCTAAAATCTCACCTCAATTCAGATAAAAACTCCTATACTGACCTTCAGATCCTGTCATTGAAATAATCCAATATGACTTATATTACATTTTTGTCTTTATCAGAGGACTTCTAAGCCAAATTTTTCAGCACAGTGCATTTATTTATTTATTTATTTATTTATTTATCGTGTCAGGAGCAACCAGACATTTGCATTACAGCACAGTGCATTAAAAACACAGAAATCCACTGATTTTTTAAATAAACATAAAGCAACAAAAGAATACTGTCAAACGTAAAGAAAACACAGCAAAGTTAAGGAATTTTATCGAATGATAGCTGGGAAGCAGACAAGGAGCACTAATATTACAATGCAGTGAATCCCTCTAAATCAGTGTTTCTCAAACTCTGCTCTGTTTTGGACTTCAGCTCCAAAAATCCCAGCCATCTTACCAGCTGTTAGGAATTGTGGGAGCTGATGTCCAAAACATCTGAAGGAGTACAGTTTGAGAAACTCTCCTCTAAATCATTACAGGCTGAAACAGCAGATCAAGATGGTAATACTGTATATTATTAAGAAGTGGAGATGGGAAGTTACTGTATTCTATGTGGGATCAGCCCAAAAGAGAAAGAGGAAAACATACCATTGTAAAAATAACAAAAATGTGCTAAAATGGCAGGTGTGCAACCAGGATCCACTTAAACACGACTGTTCATAACGGTTGCAATACACTGATCTGGACTATGGCATAAAAATGTTGCCTATAGGAAACTGCTCATTTGCTTTGGTGGCAGAGCTACTGACATTTATATCAGGCATTTCTTCAGAAGAGTGTCATGTCAGCTGGTACAAGATAAGCAAACTGTGGTCATTCAGATGCTGTTAGATACAAGTATCCCCAATCCCTTATCATTGGCCATCCAATGGTTGCAATCTGGGGGGATGTGAGGAGAACTGCGTGGAGCAATAACTTGGTTTTTATGGACCATATGGACCAATCATTGAGGGCAAAGAGGAGGCTAAAAGTAAATCCATCAGAGTTATGGGGTTTTTTTTGTTTTGTTTCCTTGGGCCTATGGCTCAACAGAAAGCAGGGCAGCAAGTACAATATTCCCCATGGAAGTTGTTTGATGGTAGGAATGGCCTCACCACTGGATTGCTGTCTGTTTCAGAGATAGCAAAGGTGCAAGAATGGAAACAGACTTAAGCAGCCTATATATATATATATATACACACACACACACACACACACACACACACACACACACACACACATACACACACACATACATACATACTTGGGTCAGTGAACGGATGCACAGTGGGTGACTGTGAGACAGTGAAAAAGAGGGTAAAGTTATCTGAGCAACAGATTTATCCAGGAGACAATATCAACTATGAGCTTTAATCAGTTTTAAAAATTCATTTCAGCAATGACTATTGTTAAACTATGGGAAGGCATATGTGAAACAAAATAAGTGTTCTTGTTTTTTCTGGATCATTTAACTAAGAATGAATTAACTGGGTGCTTCAGAGTATTTTTTCCTGGTGGGTTTTGAAAATCCAAATATTTTATAGCCCACTATAAAAGAGCTCTTTATCTTTTCTCCCAGCTCCTTCTGTGATGTCACATTTAGCCAAATGAGGAAACTACCGATAATGGAAGTGTTTGCAGATTACACATCGGGCAATAAATAAGATCAATTTCCCATGCCAGACAAAATAAAGATTCCTTATCATTGTTTAAACTTTTTGCTCTTTGTGACACCTGCTAATATTTTAACCCACATAAGAGATGGTATTTTCTGCTTCCCCCTTCCCTTAAAAAAAAAAAAAAGAACACACAGCTGTATTTATCTTTTTATCAGGTGTTATGGTATAAAAGACCACATGGTTGCTTAAGTTCATGTTGCAGTTCATAGCTAGCTGGTTGAACTGAAGGATCTTTAGGAAAATGAAGCAATTTTATCTATTACTACTGTTGTTTCACTTTTACAGGGCTGTCATCCCCATGTGCCCACGAAAATGCAGCTGTGACTTGGCAAGAAGGGTACAATGCTACCAAGTTGGAGAAATTCCTAGAGGGATTGCATCTACTTCCAGAAGAATTCATATCAGCCACAGCAAAATAAAACGGCTCCAGGTAGAATGGTTTCTTCTCTCTTTCTCCTCCTCCCCTCCCCATTTCATCTATTCTTCCCTTTCATTTGGTTAGGTAATTAAGAGTTACACACAAAGTATATCATTATGGTAGGGGAAATTTAAAGGGTAAAGAGACGTCTACTTCTTAGCTTCTAAAACAAGGGAGGGAAGTTCCTCCAGATGTTGTTGGGCAGCAAGTTTAAGTAGCCGCAGCCAGCAAAGGTAATGAGTAATGCTAGGAGTTGCAGTCCACAGCGTTTGGAGAACTCCATGATTCCTGCCCCTATTTTAAGAAATCAGGAACCATGTTTTTCTCCCATATAGCAGGTCATGACAGACCTACATCCTCACATAGCCACATGTTATCAAATTTAGTACAACCTTACTTCTCAGTGGACTGGACTGGAATTCAAAGTTTAGTTCAATTGTGAATATATCACCTTTTATGTGATCCATCTAAACTTCACAAAAGTGGTGTGAGTGGGTTTGGAAAAGAGTACCTCTAACAGAAAACAGTGTAGAAGTTTGAATGTCTGTGTAGCATGTTGATGTCATTCTTGTTGTTTATCATCAAGCAATTACGCATTTTTTAATTTTTAAGATGCCTTTTGTTGGACAAAAACCAAGGTGAGATAATTGGGTAAAATGGGTTTAAACTGAATCTATGTTCACACTAGGGGAAAAGGTCAATTAAAAACAAGTTATGTACTTTACTGAGTGGTTAGAGAGTGATGGAAGCCTGATATTAAATAATGACAGTGCAAGGTTTACTTGATAAATGTAAGTGTGTCTGATGATGAAGCCTGCAAGCCTTTGAAGCTTCACTGGCTTCTTCATCATGATGCACCAATTGTTGAAAAACAATAACAGAAATGGCAAACTATGAGTTAGGGCAGTTAAAAGTATATTATCTTCATTGTGTCAGTAAGGTAGATACTCCAATGTCAGCAATACATATATAATACACTCAGCAAACATGTTTTCGTGGCCAATAGAAATAATGGAAACAGTAGTCCAAAACATCTGAAGCATTAAGAGCGACACTGTTTTTCCTAGCAAGTAGATTCAGGCAATGACAGTGATAGTGGTGGCTTTTATATCAGTGGCATGGTGAATTTAATCCAGATTTTAGTTCCAAATCTAAAGGAGATATCCAAGGTGCTGAAACCCACACCCAAAATAGTTTTAGCAACTTGAATAGCTTCTTTAAAGTCTGGAGTACTATTCAGAGGGATTCACCACTCCACTGATACAGATGCCACCAGCTATCACCCTTAGCAGCACTACATACCATATTTTCTCAAATCTAATGCTCACCTTTTTTGGCTAAATTACATATCCAAAAGTGAGGTGCGTGTTAAATTTGATGGCATGTTAGAATCACGTATGTAAACCTGTCTGCTCTCCTCCATCAGGCTGAGGCTGGCAAAATTGTCAGCCTCAGCTTGGCAGGCATGGCTTCCCAAATGTCTACATTCACAAGGCCTTCAAAACTTCTCCCTCAGTTTTGAAAATGTGAAAAAGGGCTTAGCTGAGAAGCTGCTGCCTGCATGTCAGGCCAAGACTGGTGTTTTCATCAGCCATCAGCCATAGGCGACAAGGAAGGAGAAGCCTAGGGCATGGCTTCGCCTTCCTTGTCGCCTGTTCCAAGGCATGCAAAAGGACAGCCAACAGGCAAAAGGAAGTCATGCATTACATTTGGCAACATTTTTTTTTGCAATGCGTACCTTCAAAATTGAGGTGCGCATTACAATAGATGGCATGTTATACTTTAGTAAATACAGTGTGTTACCAGGCACAATTTGCACATAGCTCAGTTAAAAACATCAGCTCTCCAATCCCATAGTTTTCCTAGTGTCTCTGCAAGCAAAGCATCAACTCTCCAGTCCTACATATAGTAATGTATATGCCTGGCTCTCATCTCTGGAATAAAGTAATAATGAAATAAATAAGCCTTTAATACACAAAGAACATTTTTTCTCCATCACAACTGGTTCTTAGAGAGATAACTTTCATAATGTGGCTTTCACGGAATAAGTGTGGAAACTGGGTACCTAGCCCAAGCTCGCTCAGTCTTGTACTTGTCCCTTCGTGATTCCCAATATACCTCCTGCCTAGTCATCCTTAGGTTTAACTTTCTTCCTCTTTGCAGAAAAATAATATTCCTGTGATCTAAAGCAAATTAGAAGTTAGCAACAAGGCAATGGTATATATCTATTTTATTTTCCATCAGCTACATGTAATCATGTCATTTTTCACGCAAAGGACCTCAAGGTAGTTTGCTCTTACAATATAAGCTATATCTACTCAAAAATACATGGCCCCGAATTCAAAACAGCCTACTTCCACAAAAGTGTAGAATTGCAGCTTTAACATCTGCATGATCAGGAAGGCAGGGTTAAAAAATCTTACTGAGGCATTTGTTTTTGTTAATTAAGTATTATACCTTCCTCACTTTTCTTAGTGCCTTGTAAGCAAAACTCCACAATATTTTAGCTTAAGAAATTTGCATAAATTGCTAAGTAGAGTGAACTCCCTGTGTACTTATGTAGACTTGCACACACACATATACACACAATTCTACACAAAGGAATTACTAATAGTGCCAGCCAAAATTAACAGTCATTGCACAATGACAAAAAAAATGGTTTGCCTTTGCCGGTCACCATAAGGCATCCTATTTCTCTGACAAGTGTGTATTACTAAGATATCTGAAGACACATTTGTAGATTGCAGCCAAAATTTACTTGAGTAGAGCTAATATATGAGGCACATGAGTAAACTTTCTTATACAAATAGCTCTATTTGCTCATTAGTATAAAATATAACCAAATTTCAGGGGCAAGAAAAATGTGTTTGTGTGTCATGATCAGAAAGAAAAATTGTCCTTCTTTATCAGTGTAATTGGCCATTTTATCATTTACTGACTCGATATTCATAGCAATACAAACAATGCAACCATGAAGGGTGCCTTTACAATAGAGCCATAACCCCCTTTTGAATATACTTAAAATGTCTGAAACATGAGTTTAAAAGCTGTGCACATAACGAACTTGTGATCCATGCTTCTAATCCTTCCTCTTGCTAGCCAATTCAGTCCTTTGAAGTTTAAAACTGATAATTACTAAATCAATAAACATTCTGATGTTCTTTATAAAATACATAGATTATAGCTTACAAGATAATGAATAATAGGTTACAAGAGAGATCTCAAACAAGGTTTTACATTTTTCAGTAACTAATGCTTTGCCACAAATAGTTTCTGTTTCATTTCTGTTTTTAAAATATTTGTTTCTTTTAAAGTTTTTTAATCATTCAAAGCTTCCACAAGATCAAACAGAACATAATATATGAAATATATAAGTATATGCATTTTACATAACCAAAAAACCCCCACATTATTGAATTACACATATATCTATGCATAACCATGTCTCAGAGATCCAGTGTCCTCATCATTTTCTAGTAATTATCTCTTAATTTTCACATATTATGGACTGCATCAAAGTGTTAGTCGAAATGAGAATAAACTCATAAAATCAATGGGAGTTTAATATTTAAATTTTAATGACATTTAAATAAACAGGATTTATTCCATTGGGGACTAACAATTAGACTTAGGCCCATATTCTTATGGCTATAAAGCATGTGGAGCCCCCAGTGGTGCAGTGGGTTAAACCACTGAGCTGCTGAACTTGCTGACCAAAAGGTCAGCAGTTTGAATCCCTGGAGCGGGATGAGCTCCTGCTATTAGCCCCAGCTTCTGCCAACCTAGCAATTCGAAAATATGTAAATGTGAGTAGATCAACAAGTACTTCTCTGGCGGGAAGGTAATGGCACTCCATGCAGTCATGCTAGCCACATGACCTTGGGGACGTCTATGAACAACGCCAGGTTTTTGGCTTAGAAATGGAGATGAGCAATAACCCCCAGAGCTGGACACGACTAGACTTAATGCCAAGGGATTAAGTCTTTACCTTTACTATAAACCATGTGTCAAATTCAAAGTCTGCAGACTGAATGCAGCCCATGTCATTTTATGTGGCTCTCCAGATGCTGGACTTGTCATTAGCGATCATGACCAGTGTTGATGTGAGTTGGGGCACAACAACATCTGTAGTTTGTTCTGTTTAGCCAGGATAGTAGGGTTTTAATTTAGGTACAAGGCTTTTGAATATGATGTCTGATTTTTAAAGGTCATTAACCTTTCCCCAACCTCAAAACCACAAATGAATTTGAGACCCTTGCTACAAATGGAGAATACAAATGATGAAGAGCATCAAATAAATCTTTGTAAATGCTGTAAATAAAAAACCTAAAAGGATTATAATTGCAGAAAGAAGTCTGAGTAAATATGCATAGAACTGAGGAATGAAATTACAATCTTACCCAAGTTTTCCTTAACAAGCAGCATTGGGATTTACATCTAATCAAATATGCTTAGGCGTGTTGTACTGCCTGTTCTTCTACAGTGGTGTTAATACAAGTTTTGCATATATTCTGCTTTACACCTCAAGAGGGCTCCAGCTTGCCATGGAAAATGCACCATTTCTGGTTTGGCGGGATTGTGTTCCCTTTACCTGAGAAGACTGTACAACTCCCATTCATTTGCAAATACAATCTTCCTGATTATGTGTGTTAATTCAGTTGAGGCATTAGTGAAATGCTCTATTGCTAAATTGACCTTACCAAAAATAATTTTGCTTTGCCATTTATCCATCAGGTCACTGATTTCCAAACAATGTCTTCCCTTGAAGAATTTGTCTTGACTTGCAGTGGGACAGAATCAGTGGAAACTAACACTTTCAAAACTTTGGATACTTTAAGAATCCTGGAACTGTGGAAAAACAAGCTGAGGAACATACCGTCCCCACTCCCAGCAAACCTTGAAGTGCTGAAACTTGGCGATAATTTAATAAGTGTTTTACACGAATCTGACTTTGAAGGTTCAAAGAACTTAAGGGTCCTTGATATACAAAGCAATTTGATTGCAGTTCTTTCTTTTATTACTTTTTCCTCTCTCAAAAGTTTACAGAGTTTGACTTTGGATGGGAACAATATGGAATCTGTGACTGGACCAATCCATCTCCCCAACTTAAAGTATCTGAGCATGGAAAATAATAAGTTGCAATCTTTCTCTGGAAGTTTTTTCACATCTCTTCAAAATTTATTGTTTCTCAATTTAAATGGTAATTTACTGACTGACACCCCCCCAGAATTACCCAGATCTTTACTGTCACTGAAGTTAGAGAGAAATCAACTCAAAATGCTGAGATCTGGAGATGTGAAACAACTGGCAAATTTATCACAGCTTTTCTTATCTGAAAACCAGCTTTCATCAGTTGATGGTGTACAACATCTTTCCAGTTTAACAAGGTTGGAGTTAGCTGGGAATAAACTCCAAACAATACCAGTCAGGCTGCCAATCACTTTGCAGAAAATCGATTGCAGTAATAATCTGATTGGGAAAATTCAAGCACAAGAATTCCATAATCTTCAAGACCTCAAGCATTTGTTCCTTGACAACAATATTGTTACCACATTTGAAGATGGGGCACTTCTAAAATGCACAGTATTGTCTAATCTAGCACTTGAACAAAACTTGCTTCATTCTATTCCACTACGGTAAGCAACTAAACCAGAAACACAGTTAAATGCCAGAATCCTGTATATTAATTTTCTATTATTATTATTATTATTATTATTATTATTATTATTATTAGGACTTATCTATATCTCAGATATAGGATATTGAAAAAAGTTCATCCTGTAATCATCAGTGCTGTTTTAGTATATATCACAAGCCATGCATAACAAAACAAAAAAAAACCTGTTTGTGTCACTGCTAAATAATGCAATTACTGGGATCTGTAAAAGCCAATGTGGTATACCATTAAGAACTGAGCTGGGTATTGATGACCTCTAAAAGGCCTCTGAAATATCATTGAACCCTAAGTCCCATCAAGTCCAGACAATATTTCACATGGTCAGGCAAGAAAGGAGTTGGAAGTTCAACTCCTTTCTTGCCTGACCATGGAGGACATGATCCCGACCAGTGAAACCCAGCATCCCTCCACTTGAGCTGCTCTTAGTCTTGCCAGTTAAAAGTCATGCTGCAGCTATTAATGCAGTTTGTCACCACTTTAATTGCCATAATTCAATGCTATGGAATAATGGGAGATGTAGTTTTACTCTCTGCCAAAGAGTGCTGGTACTTCACCAAACTACAACTTCCAGAATGTATCCTTGATAACACAATTATCTTGGTCCCTTGCTACCATGTGACTTAAGATTGTTTCAAATTTATTGCAAGGATAAAACTGTAGAATAGGAAGATGTCCTAAGACCTCAACTCTCTGGCAGAACAGTAGGGCATAAATGACAGGTTAGAAAATATCAAAATGTAAATGGCATATGGACTATTTATTTTCTTATTCTGGAAAGAGAGTTGTGTTTTTCCTCTCCAATTCCTACAGCAAACAAAAGTGCCAGGACTCAAACCTCCTTAAATCCAGTCATCCCAACCATCTATACTAGCCCGTAACATTTCAGAGATATATCTTCTGGAGCCCTGGCCAAAATTATAACCCGTTTGGTCTGTGGGCAAGAAATCATGTTTGAAATCCTGTTAATTATAATTTAATAGTTTATAATTATAATATAATAGTTTAATAATTATTAAACTACCTTGGTGGCATTGGGGCATGTCAGGGCTTCTTCCCCTAATGACAAGGGTTTTGTGAGAAGAAATGAAACTGGTGCTGTAAAGTATTTACCATGTTTATAGTTATGGCAGAAATAATAAACAATGCATGTTTGAAGATCTGGCTTTACCAAATAATGAAGGGACTATGGATATGGTTTTAAACTCTGGATATGGCCTTTAACATTGTTTTTTATTGTTATGAAATGTGTTTTATTGGTCTTTTATTATGATATTTTAAATGATTGAATGCTTATACTGTTTACCTGTATTGTTTATTGTTGATTTCTGTGGCACTGAATGGTTGCCTTTTATGGTGTAAGCCACCTTGAGTCCTCATGGGGAGATGGGGCAGGATATAAACAAAGTTTGGGTTACTGTGAGTTTTCCGAACTGTATGGCCATGTTCCAGAAGCATTCTCTCCTTGAATAAAATTTGTTTGATTGATTGATTGATGTTTCTTTCCACCCACCCCCCTTTCAGCCTTCCACAAACACTAGCCAGATTGGATTTGAAAGGAAACAGCATAGAAAGAATTAAGGAGCAGGAACTGTCCCAGCTTCAGCATCTACAGGTTTTGAATCTGCGAAACAACAAATTATCCACCCTAGATGACAGTTTTGTGAAACATTTGCCTCGTCTCCGATACTTGTATCTGGATGGTAACCCCTGGAATTGCACTTGTGAGCTCCTCAAAACCAGAAGGCTGCTTCTGACTCAAGGAACAGACGTCAAAGGGGGACGTTGTACATCACCAATGGAAAGCCAGGGTGAAAGCTGGATGTCTTCCAAAAGGATCCTGCATTTGTGTGCACCCAGCAATCTTCCTTCATTTGAAGAGGGGAAAGAAACTGGAAAGGAAAGAAATATTGAAGAGCCCTCCAGTCTCAGAGAAAACATGGATGACTATTATGACTATGAGACGGATTAAGTTTACCCCCAAATCTAAGATTAGCTCACTTCTCTCTCAGGCCATCAGTGAGACTTTTCTCAAATCCTGTGCAATAAGGTGCCTCTGAACATTAGTTCAACAGTTAAGTCCCTTTTGCTCTGTTCACTTATTTAGGATGGGGCAATTCCAGTGTTGTATCAACATCACAGAGATAGCATTAAAATACAGACTCTCCCACAGTTAGCTGGAACTGGCTATATCAGAATTAATGTTGAAGTCTTTAGGATTATATGTTGTTGTTTTTTGTGGCTTTTTCTTTCTGCAATTGTTAGTTCTTTTGAAAATTGTATTAATAGCTTTAGATAAATACATAAATAGTGGCTGAGCATGTGTATAGCTGTAGTCCTTTTGTAAACAATTACATGTTAGGTGTCGCCAATACAAATATGTAAAAATTAGGAGCACTCAAATAAACTTTCCTAAAGTTTGTACGTAATTATTTCAGCAATGTTGTTCACACTGTGATGGAACCTTTGTACATGATCTACTACTATGAAAGTTTATTTAATTTGCTTCTTTACTCCCAAATGTGATTCAAAGTGGCATAGTTTACATCTCTGACTAAATAGAGACATGGACACCAGAGCCATGGTTTGCTGTCCTTGTTGTCATGTGCCTTCAAATCTCTGAACTGTGGCACCTCTGTCACACAATTCAAAGTCATAGCCATGTTAGTCTGGATCAGTGTTTCTCAAACTGTGGTTCTCCAGATGTTTTAGACTTTAGCTCCTACAATTCCTAACAGCTGGTAAAACGGGCTGGGATTTCTGGGAGCTGAAATCCAAAATACCAGGAGGAGCAGAGTTTGAGAAACACTGGTCTGGAACACCAAGGCATCTTGTAGCACCATTGAGACTGAAAGAAGCTGTTGCATAAGCTTTCATAGATGCAGGGTGCAGCTACACCGCAGAATGAATGCTGTTTGGTACCACTTTAACAGTCTTGGCTCAAGGCTATAGAATCATGGGATTTGTAGCTTGATTTTTTTTTCGTGTCAGGTGTGACTTGAGAAACTGCAAGTCGCTTCTGTTGTAAGAGAATTGGCTATCTGCAAGGACATTGCCCAGGGGACACCAATTTGAAGTTTTTCCATCCTTGTGGGAGGCTTCTCACATGTCCCTGCATGGGGAACTGACAGAGGGAGCTCAACCTGCTCTCCCCGGATTTGAACCGCTGACATGTCAGTTTTCAGTCCTGCCAACACAAGGATTTATTCCATTGCACCACCAGGGAAGGGAGAGTGCTTGATGAGACCCCAGCACTCTTTGGAAGAGAAAGTCTTGTACACTTCCCAGGACAGGAGCCCCCGCTGACGCAGTGGGTTAAACCCCTGTGTCGGCAGGACTGAAGACCGATAGGTCACATGTCTGAATCCAGGGAGAGCGCGGATGAGCTCCCTCTAAGCCCCAGCTCCTCATGCGGGGATATGAGAGAAGCCTCCCACAAGGATGATAAAACATGAAAATATCCAGGCGTCCACTGGGCAACGTCCTTCCAGATGGCCAATTATCTTACACCAGAAGCGACTTGCAGTTTCTCAAGTTGCTCCTGACACGACAAAAAAAACAAAACTTCACAGGATTCCGTATCATTGAGCCATGGCAATTAAAGTGGTGCCAAATGGCATTAATTCTAAAGTGTACATCAGGTATGGGCAGACTTTGCCTCTACAGGGGTTTTGGACCTCAACTCCTAGACATCTCAGCTAGCTTACCGGCTGTTAGCAATTGTGGGAGCTGAAATCCAAAACATCTTCAGGACCAAAGTTTGCCCATGCCTGGTGTCAACACACCCATAGCCACCATCTAAAGGAACAGGCTGAGACTGTATCCACACTGCAGACATATAACAGTTTACCACCACATTAATAGCCATGGCTCAATGCTAGGAATGCTGATACAATATTTGCAGTTTTGTGAGATGTTTAGCTTTCTCTGTCTGAAAGTTCTTCTGCCAGAACAAAACCCAGGATTCCACAGGATGGAGTTATTTACTTATTTACTTACGATATTTCTACCCTGCCTTTCTTGAACCAAAAGGTGACTCAAGGCCGCTTTGCAACATAGGCAGCTATTCGATGCCATTAAAACAATGTAAAAATCATAATCAACATTTAAAGCAGAATTATATAATACATACATTAAAACCTTTAAAAACATATAATACCACTATCTTCACTATTAGCATCGTTGTCCAAAATCATTGTCTAGCTGCTCCAGTATTTGATTTCACATAGTTCTGTGTTTATCTATTGCACTAGGTTCCCAAAGGCTTGTTCAAAAAGCCATGTTTCACTTTTCTGCAGAAGGCTAAGATGGAAGGAGCTGATCTATTATCACTAGGGAGGGATTTCCACAGCTGAGGGGCCACCGCTGAGAAGGCCCTGCCTCTCATCCCCGCCAGTCATGCCTCGAAGAAGGCGGGACTGAGAGCAGGGCCTCTCCAGATGATCTTAAACTCCTAGATGGTTCATAAGGAGATAAATTCGGACAGGTAAGCTGGCCTGGAACTGTTTAGGGCTTTATAAGCTAAAGCCAGTACTTTGAATTGTGCATGGTAGGAAACCGGCAGCCAGTGGAGCTGGTGTAACAAGGGAACTGTATGCTCCTTGAACACCGCTCTGGTGAGTAATCTGGCTGATGCCTGTTGGACCATTTGAAGCTTCCGAACGGTCTTCAAAGGCAACCCAACTTAGAGTGCATTGCAGTAATCTATACAGGATGTAACCAGAGCATGGACTACTGTGGACAAGTCAGACCTCCCAAGGTACGGCATTTAAAGTAGTGTCAAACTGCTATTGGGTAGATGGCCCTAAAGGTAAAGGTTTTCCCTGACATTAAGTCCAGTTGTGTCTTACTCTGGGGGTGGTGCTCATCTCCATTTCTAAGACAAAGAGTGTGTTGACCATAGACACCTCCTAGGTCATGTGGCCGGCATGACTGCATAGTGCGCTGTTACCTTCCCGCCAGAGCAGTACCTATTGATCTACTCACATTTGCATGTGTTTGAACTGCTAGGTTGGCAGAAGCTGGGGTTGACAGCGGGAGCTCACACCGCTCCCTGGATTCGAACCTGCAACCTTTCAATCAACAAATTCAGCAGCTCAGTGCTTTAACCCGCTGCACCACCGGGGGCTCCTAGATGGCCCTAAAATACATACAAAAATATATGAATAAATAATAAAGTAAAATAAATCAAGTTTATGCTACAACTTTTTCCCTTTGGTAGTTTAAAAGGTGCTACCTTGCTCGGGTAATAGCTGGATCCGGAAGCTCTGAGCGTTACGCTGTTTTTTATGTTTAACTGCAACCCAGCTTTTGCACTTTCTTCTTTCACCTTGATTAGAAGGCGCCTCAGCTCCTCATACTATTACCCCAACTGTGGTGTTGGAGGAAAGTGCTGAGAGTGCCTTGGACAACGAGAAGATCCAACTAGTCCATACTTCAAGAAATAAAGCCCGACTGCTCACTGGAGGGAAGGATAGTAGAGGCCAAGATGAAGTACTTTGGCCACATCATGAGAAGAAAGGAAAGCTTAGAGAAGACAACGGTGCTGGAGAAAATGGAAGGAAAAAGGAAGAGGGGCCGACCAAGGGCAAGATGGATGGATGGTATCCTTGAAGTGACTGGATTGACCTTGAAGGAGCTGGGGGTGATGACGGCCGACAGGGAGCTCTGGCGTGGACTGGTCCATGAAGTCATTTATTTGTCGTGTCAGGACAACCAGTCAATTATATTACATTTCTAACAGAACAAAGCAAACAAACAGGCAAAATACACAACTTGTGAGTTTGGTAGTTGATTAAATGTCCTTTGATCAGTAGCTGGCCACTTGGAGTGCTTCTGGTGTTGCTGCAAGAAGGTCCTCCATTCTGCATGTGGCAGGGCTCAGGTTGCCTTGCAGCAGGTGGTCAGTGGTTTGCTCTTCTCCACACTCGCATGCCGTGGATTCCACTTTGTAGTCCCATTTCTTGAGGTTGGCTCTGCATCCCATGGTGCCAGAGCACAGTCTGTTCAGCGCCTTCCAAGTTTCTCAGTTTTCTGTGTGCCCAGGGGGGAGTCTCTCATTTGGTATCGCATTGGTTGAGGTTCTGGGTTTGAGCGTGCCACTTTTAGACTCTTGCTTGCTGAGGTGTTCCAGCGAGTGTCTCTGTAGATCTTAGAAAACTATTTCTAGATTTAAGTCGTTGGCGTGCCGGCTGATACCCAAACGGGATGAGCTGGAGATGTCTCTGCCTTGGTCCTTTCACTATTGGCTGCCACTTCCTGACGGATGTCATGAAGTAATGAAGAGTAGGAAATGACTGAAGGAATGAACAACAGGACGAGGGACTATTTTTTAAATGGATTCGCCTTCACGTGCCCCTTCCGGCCACTAGGTGTCGCTGCAGGTGAAGGCAAACACGTGGGGCTCTGTTCTCCCTGCTCTTCCTCCGGACGGAGACGCCCTTTCGCTTTGGGGAGGGGCGACGTCATTCCCTCCAACAGACCGGAAGTGACGTGTGCCGGCGTCGGCGTCGCCTGCCCGGCCAATGGGTGCCTCGCGCGTAGGCCGAGGGGAAAGGTCAGGGCAGGTCCGGCGATGGCGGCGCTCAGGGAGCCAGCCCGGCGGATAAAACCGTCTCCGTGAGGGGCAGGAGAGCGAGATGGTGCGCGCCGGGCGCTGCGGCTGAGCCTCCCCTCACTCTCCTCTCGGCTGCCGGCCCCCCTCGGTCCCAATGAGCGTCGCCCACGAGCTGCTGTGGCGCCTGCTCCACGTCCTCCTCAGCCTCCAGCGCGCGCTCGCCGCCTGGCTGCGCGCGTGCTTCTTCCGAGGGAGGCGCGGCCGGTGGCGGTGGCGCGCGGCCTCGGCTCTCTCGCGGGCGCTCCTGGCCCCGGCGGCGGCGGCGGCGGCGGCAGCCAGCGGGCCCTTCGCCTTCCACAGGCCGGCCGCGGCGGGGAGGAAGGCGGCCCTCGGGGGGCCCGGGGCCCGCGCCAGGAAGGACGCCAAGTCTCTGCAGAAGCTGCCGGGCCACGTGGGGCTGGTGGTGGCCGAGGAGGAGCACAGCTACGCCGACGTGGCCGGCCTGGTGGTGTGGTGCATGGCGGTGGGCATCTCCTACGTCAGCGTCTACGACCACGACGGTGAGCCGCTCCCCGGGGGCCTCCACGCCCAAGCGCCAAGGCGGCCTCACGCCAGGCTAGGTGTACGGGCAGCCCCCAAGTTGCGAACAAGATAGGTCCTGTAGTCGAAGTCTTTCATGGCTGCTCTGAGTTTTCCGAGCTGTATGACCATGTTCCAGAAGCATTCTCTCCTGACGTTTCACCTGCATCTATGGCAGGCATCCTCAGAGGTTGTGAGGTCTGTTAGATACTAGGAAAGTGAGGTTTGTATATCAGTGGAATGTCCAGAGAAGGAAAAAGAACTCTTGTCTGTTTGAGGCAAATGT